AAAAAATAAATTGATTGGGAATAGAATGACAGTTTATTCTATTATAGGTCTATACTCTGTACCAAAGTAACAGTATTCATTAGTGTATTTTGTTCACATCAATTGGCTAAATTGCTTTATTGACCAACATACTATTGAGTATTGATAAGCAATATATTCTATAGAATTATCGTTATTTCAGTTTAGTATTTTCCATTTACATAGCTATTAGTTTTATACATTTAATTTCTATAGTACCTAGTAAGTTAAATTTTTAGTTTCACACTTCACAAACTTTTTAACATTTCTGTAAATAACTTTTTGTGTTTAAATCTAGTGTACGTATTAGTTTATAAAGTACGTTATTTGTTTGGTGATAATCAAATTTTCTGTTGAAATGGCTGGTGGTAAAAAAAATTGGCATGTTGTTTATATTACCAAGGAAAAACTGTAAATGGCAAAAAGATATTTGAATGCTGTTATTGCAAATAAAGATGTAAACTGTAATAATATCAGTAAAAAAACTGTAATTTGGATCATTTACCGCCATAAGTTTAATTTAAAACTGAAACCTATGATCAATATTTAAAAACTTATTATACTCCCGGGAAATTTCCGATGTTGGGATTATTCCCTGGAATTTCACCGGGGAAATTCCCAAAAAATATATTCCCGGGAATTCGCCCATCACTAATCGCAACTACCGCACGCGGTGATTATTTTTTCCAATGGCGTTACAATCTTATCATACTTATCATAATTGGCGGATTCACAGTGTTATTATATGATATTTAATGTATGTTTCGGTAGACAGGGCAGGTAACTATTAGAACGGTGGACTATGGTTGTTCGGCTATAACGTCTTAATACTGAAACCCGGTTTACACGCAACGACTTATTGCACGTTTTGCTGGATATGTAAAATGAACAATAAGACGTACATTTTATAAAGTGTCTACCCGTTTAAACTTTTACTCGGTTGTCCATCCCAGTTTCTACTGTATTTCTGTTCATTGTTCAGTAGTATTCAGTTATTTTAGTGATTTTTGACGACATGGAAGAAACACTAACCTAACCATAATGTTCCTAGTACGTATGCAACAGTATTTTAGTAGATCAGAAATGTTCGCAAGAAAACAAAAAAATACCACGATGATTCAAATTTTATATTATTTATCGAATATTATAGGTTAATATACTATAAAATATTATAATTATTAAAAAAAAAAAGAACGAAATTAAGTTGTTGAAACTATAAAGTCTAGGAGAAAATTAAACCTTAAGATAACAAAAAGTTGTATAATGCATCAAGTGTGTATTTACATGAACGAAATTTCGTTTAACTTTGCGTAAATGAATCGGCGCCCATCAGTCCTTCGATCCAATCTTGGATTTTATTTCAATTCCATAAGACGTATGATTTACTGTATGTACGCATCGTATTACTTGATACAATAAGTCATGTTCAATAAAACGTGCAATAAGTCGTTGCGTGTAAACCGGCCTTTATAATACGACCACACATACACGCCGGTAGTAGTAACCACTTGTTTTACAATTCTTTTTGTACCTATGATAATTTGACAATGGATTAGTGAAGTTTATCATAGATTAAATATATATAGATAGACCATGGGTATAGGCGATATGGAATCCAATAAATTTAATATAAGGACCGTTTCACAAGAACGCATATCAATCGCGCGCATTTCATACGTCGCGTTCAGAATTACGTTATTTATATTGACTATTTACGATGGACGCGTATGAAACGGGTTTTTGGATACGCGTTCCCGTTCGTGGCGCGTATCAAACGCGAGCGTGTAGGCCATTACATGCAATGACAGGTTTCATATAGGCTTGTATCGTACGCGCAATGATCTAATTTTGAAAAATGGTTTTTATATTATGTTTTACAAATTCTCAATGAAGTGCAATTCTTCTCTCAACAAGTTCATACACATTGAGAACTTATTTTATACTTCGACGTTTGATTTAAGACTATTTAATACGGTAGTATTAAAATACTTTTTTTATTTTAAAATACTTTATTTTTTGTTTTTACCACATGACGTAAAATATTTACAAAATCATAAAATTGTGTTAAAATATGAAATATTAATGTATTGATCTGTTTTAGCGATTCGCTACCATGCAATTCTCGAGGACGTCGACTGTAAATCCGGTAAAATATTAGTTTTGTTTTAAAATTATTAAATTATTAAAAAATTCGCTTGTTATAATTATGTAAGTTATAGTTGTATCATTATAATTGATCATCAATTTACTCCAATACTTCAAGCCAAACATAAATTATTATTTCATGACATGTGTATCGTTTGGAACAATTAAAAAACAAATAACATTGCATTGTTAGATGTAGGATATAATATATTATAGTTGTATAAAATATATTACTGAATTGATAATGATAATTGACAATAAAATAATAATGGATTATACATGAATATTTTTATTTTTTTTTTAATATGGACGATCAAAATATTTTCTTGGATTTTCAAGAATAATAAAATAATTTTATAAAAATAAAGAGAACAAATCACTTTTTTAAATGACTTTAAATAACTTTTGAAATAAATCAATGTTAAACATTTGTAGTTCTCATAATAATCACCGTTTGTCATTTGAAATATATTTATGCAATATTTAAAGTTAATAATTAAAGATTTTATGAATATTTATTTTAATTACGGAAGAGGGAAAAAATCAGGGACTGTTTTGGTGTGTAATACATTAAAGTGTGTGTTATACCAAATCAGTTGTGTGTAATACGGAATCATAAAATGTTTAGTGACAATTGTCTAAGAACAATGAACAAATTCTGAAAGTAAAAATTTATAATTCCATTGAAAAAATTCAAAGGAACGTTAATTAAACAAATTTGTTAACATAATAACATATTAAATATTAATAAAGTAAACAATCTAGTTGATAGTTTGTAATACTTATTTTATTATTTACTTTATTCATCGATTTTCCTTAATAAAGTGTAAACCCGGTAATATTTGTTTAGAAATAAAAAATTGTTATCAAATATAAATGAATTAAAGTAACTATATTTACGATATGGAAAAAAGTGTTGTTTTGTGATTAGCAGTCAGTCCCAAAGACAAAATATTCTAAAATAACAATAGTGTAGTACGAAATACTAAAAAATAGGCCTTGGTGGTAAGATTGTCAAAAACAATTTAACAATAGGCAACTAAACATTTATCACAATAAATTCATCAATACGTAATAATAAGTATGTTCTAAAATACTTTTTTTATTTTTTTTCCAACTCTGTATATCTTAGAGGTAAATATATAAAATAAATATAACGAAAATCTAATATTAAAAAAAAATATATAAAATGTAAAATTATTACATCAATAACTAATATTGTGTTATATAAATTGTATCCGAATTATTTCATTAAAAGGTAAAAACAAAGTTATTGTTCATCGTGGTTATATTGTATTGTCATTTGGTGTTTGGTGAAATCGAGGTGAAAATTGCAAAAGGGATTCTAAGAGGTCAAATTTTGAAATCAAGAAACGGAAGACCTTACTACTCATACACCGGTGTACCATATGCAAAACCGCCAGTTGGGGAACTTCGATTTGAGGTATTCAACGAAATATAATTTTTAATTTCAATTCAAGAACGATCTTTGAGATTTTCTATAATGCTATAGGCTCCAGAACCAGTTGATCCGTGGAATGGAACTATAGACGCAACTAAGAGTCCAACAATTTGCCTCCAAAAGGATGAAGAACATAGCCAAGAGGATTGCTTATATTTAAATGTTTATTCACCAGCCACTGATGGTAGACTTCCTGTAATGTTTTGGATTTATGGAGGAGCGTTTTATTTGGGTCATGGTAATTTTGAATCGTTTGGCCCTGATTATTTTATGGATAAAGATATCGTGTTAATAACATTCAATTACAGATTAGGAGTATTAGGTGAGATTGATGAAGTAAGGTATTTTTTTAAATACTTTGGATATTAAATATTAACATTAACCATTTATTTTGAGAAACAGGTTTATTGAGCATGGAAGATGACGTTATACCAGGAAACTATGCAATGAAAGATCAAGTAATGGCGTTACGATGGGTTCAAGAAAACATCGATAAATTTGGAGGTGATCCTGGGAAAGTGACGATTTTCGGTGGGAGTTCTGGTGCGGCAAGTGTCGGTTACCATATGATTTCACCGATGAGTAAAGGTCTTTTCCACAAAGCCATACTTCAAAGTGGCTCTCCATTGTGTCGATGGAGTATACCACTACCCGGTGTAGCACGCCATCAAACCAAAATAATTTCCGATGTAGCTGGATGTACTGGAAGATCTTCAACGGACATTTTAAAATGTTTGAAGAAATTACCTGCACGATTTTTTATCAATCTTCGTGAAATATTCAACGTGAGTAAGAGATGTACTATTTTATCTAAAGATATAATTCGAATTTTAAATTTATATTTTGTATAATATGTGTCCTTGTAAAAAATAATGTCCAATTTGATATTTTTTTCCTATTATTTATCTGTTTTAATATTTTTAGTGAGTTCCTGATAATAATTCATTACTAAAATATTGTAACGATATAATTAATTATTTATTATTAACTGTTAATATTTACCATACCTATAATTCGAATATTATGAATATGGATTTTAGATTTCTTAATTTATATTGTATAGGAAACACTGACATATTCCCACATGGTATTGTTTTTACCGGTAGTAGAACAATGTGGTTCTGGCCAAAAGTCTTTTTTGTGTCACCACCAGTTGCATTCATTTCAACAAGTGTCTTTTGTGCCGGCTATAGTTGGTTTGAACTCTGGTGAAGGTGGAATGGATGTTTCTTGTAAGTTTTTTTTATATGTTTGTATGGCAAGTCAATTTGTAGACGTTGAAATATTTAAAAGTGTATTATCGTAAAATAATATATATTTTTTTTTCATTTATTATAACATATAATGTTTCAACACATTGGGTGTTATTACAAGTATTGTGACAGTTTTAAATTTTTTTAAGTAACACATTTATAATATAATTAATATTGATAATAATGTTACTAAATAATTAATGTTTAGGTAAGATAATTGACATTGTTATTGAGAATACAATTTGGCGTTTTTGAATAGAGAAAATGATGATATTTATTAATATAATTTTAAAAGGAAAAGAGATAAGATTATGGAAAACTGATATTAACCTTAAGTATGTTTAGGACTGACGTGAGAAGGGAGATAAGGGAACTAATTAATGAGTATAGATTTGACATTAAAGTTGATATAGTGTCGGCGATATTATTCTCCGTGTGTGATAATTGAATTTTTGGGGCTTTCGCATGTTTGCTCTTGGACTGGGCGTTTGAATTAGAGCCGTTGGATGAACGGACTCTTGGGACTATTTTTTTGAAAGTTACTTTCTAAACTGTGCATCTCTTGAAATTAGCAATGTTAATGAGAACATTCATTATTCGGAATTATAATAACAATAAAGACTCATCAGATTGGGCTTCTCGGATGTTACACGGCGAATGGCGCACTTGGCCGGTTTAGGTCTTCGCGGATGATGAAATAGGTTGAAAGAAAATAGGTCAGGTTTGCGATCGCGTCATAGTTGTATTTCATAATTATTCATGAAAATTATTTAAGGTACTGTTTTTAAGCATGCGTTTTATTTTTTCAGTTATGATCAACGACAAAGATTTGCCAAATCCGGATATCCTTAAAGATTTTCATTATAAAATGTCGCTTATGATGGGATACGAACATTATGCATCAGATGTGAATGAAATCGGTAAATCGATTATCCAGAGATACTTTCCTACAGGAAAAGTTGATCAGTCTTATTCCAAATTAGTTGAAGTAATTTTACAATTTTTTAAATGTTATTGCTTTTCAATTTTATAATTTCAGATGTGTAACTCATAGGAACTTATAACACAACTAATACGTAAGCATGGTACTGAAACGTTTGTCACTGTATAATTTAAATATTTAGGATGAGTCTTATTAATTTTAATATTATATCTTTATTAATATACATTTTTTAATTCGAGGTAAATGGTACTTTCTAATTAATACAGTGTAATACTCATATATATCATATAATGAGAGATAATTTAAATTTAGTTTCCAACTAAATTATTGTAGTGTTCAAATGTTTCAAGTTGCTAATACTTAGATTTGTGTATATTTTTAATAAATATTTATATATTTTTTTTTATTTTTAAATTACAGATGTTTACTGACGGCGATTATATCCAATGTTTGTTAGATACGGCTATTAAATTTTCACCACCGATGTATTATTATGTTTATGATTACCAAAATGAATTTTCATTTAACATATTATATGGGAATTCGCATCAAAAACTAGGAGTAACACACGGCGATGAGTTGATAAGTTTGTTTAAATTGAGGAATTGGAATAATAAAGAATTAAATGAAAAAGATTTGGAAATTTCAAAACTTATGGTTGATATTTGGACGAGATTCGCTATATCTGAGTGAGTTGAAACGTCGATATTATCCAATGATAAAAATTTATGTTTACATGATTTTTATTGAAAGCCTTTGAATTTTAAATAAAATAAAATGGTCTATAGAAGAAATGTATACTATATCATAGTATACTATATTCACAGTATTTTGTGTAAATATAAATACGAAATTATATTGGATAGTTGGATTAATATTGAATGCATGTATTATCTTCATTCTTCTCCAAAAACTTTGAAATTTTAATTAAAAACACATGATCAGTTAAAATATTATAATATATTCAACCATGTTTCATATATATTGTATAAGAATACATTAAAGATTATATAAATTATCAATAAGTGTGCGCTGATCTATATTTCAAGGAGTGCTTACTATACTTTTGGCCCTATCATAAAAAACCGTATGAGTAGGTCAGTGGCGTATCTGTGGGGGGTGGGCAACAGGGGCATTTGCCCCCCCCCCCCGAGAAGTTTTTTACTACCATAATGCAAATTAATTGTTCAGCCTAAATAAAGTAAATTATAAATATTTTTAATTTTCACTGATTATAATCATTTTTGATATCAAAAGTTTTTGATATCACTTATCAATGTAGTATAAAATATCAATATTTAACCGGATTGGGATTAGGAGTGATGATCACATATAGTCACTATTTTATAATGTGGTTATCTTTAATATCAAGTGATCATCATGAGTTTTAAGTATTTAGTAATAATTTATAATAATGTGTTATATTATATTATAACCATAAAAAATTGTGAAATTAATTTATGCCCCCCACAAAAATAAAAATAAAAAGTGTTTCACAGGTACGCCACTGTGGTAGTTTTATTTAATAAATTATAATGTATTAATAATTAAATAAACATAACTCACATTTTTTATTTAATACTGTGGTATTTTTGGTTAGTTTTGTAGAATATCGAAACGTCATTATATTTGTGATAGTTTTAATGAAAATCTAATGAGAATAACTGTACTTAGTAACTGTTAAACAGTTGCAACTATTTATTTTTCATTGTCTTACATTTATACTATTTGGAATATTGATTTCAGCGTCCCAACTATTGATGGTACAGAGAGCAGTTCAGTTTGGCCAATATTTGACATGAAAAAACAATCAATGCTTTACATTAATTCAAATCGTTCCAGTGTAATACAAAATCCATTTGAGGAAAAGTATAAGTTTTGGAACTCATTGTCTCTTTTATCTAAATTGACTGAATATTTTTCGAAAAGTGTCACTTCAACTACAAATACGAAAAACGAACTCTAATTGTTATATATATGCGGAACATTTTAATTTTGTAATAATCAAATTTTTTTTATTTTGTTAAATTCAATATCTATAAAATTGTTGATATCAATTTTAGAATTAAATTTATCGTAATCTATTAATTTTTAATCAAAACCCGAATAAAAAAATAAAAATAGAAATTGTCAAACAAATAATTTAATGGTCACTATTATTGCTCTTGATATCCGAATTCTCGGGTACCCTGATTTCACAGGTTTTACCCAATTTAAAAAATTTCGAATATCCATTATGATTTATATACTCATTATGCACTTGGCTAATAAGCTACAGTTATCTAAAAATGTGTACTCATGATGATGACCAGTGGTCTGATAACAATATTATTGCTCTTACTGCATTGAATTTACGTATGATTGTGATTACTTTATTTATAAATAATATTCAGTTGATTATATAAAACTAAAATATTTATTATATTTTTTTACTGACGTCGAATTATTTCAAAAAAAATTATTTGATCCATAAATGTATTACTTTACAGGGAGATTTCAATAATTTTAATGATTGGTACTATCTGAATGTTATATACATATAAATAATATGAAAATTAATTTTACTTGATAGTTAATTATAATTATGCAATAATTTTGAATATACAGTGAATACTCTCTATAACAAAACTGAAAGTACCAAGAGATATCACTTCAAATAAACACAAAATTTTAATTATTTATATACATAGATTTGTATGCAATATAAAATTGTAAAATATGCATTTTCATTTTTATAAGATACACACATACAAAAATATAGTTATAAAAAAAAACCAATTTATTAAAATACATCCAGTGATTGGCTGATTGTATTAATATAATGTAATTGAGATTAAAAATTAAAAATTATGTATTTATTTTTCGTATACATATTTATTAATTATTATTTTATAAATAAAATGTTGTAACAAAACGTGAAGTCTGTATGTTTTCTTAATTTTGTTAACTTTATTTGAATAATAACAATATTTTACATCATTGAAATTTTAACAATATAATGAAATTGAGCAATTCATAATATAATAATATATATCAATTATAAACGTGTAGTTGAAAATATTGTATGTTCTAATTCACAATATTTATGCGAATAGTTATACAAATTTATAACAATAGGTTTAAGCAAAAAAAAAATAAAATTGATCATAAATCATAAATCCATTCGATTGCCACTATCGTCGGATGCAATTATGATACCTCAAAAGACATACTGAAATGTCTCAGAAAACTACTCGCTGAAAATTTGATGGATCATCAATTAAATTAATTGTCATTTATCAGTCAACAAATTGTTATATATTGAAAATTATCCTTCCACATTAGGGATGGTCAAAATTGTATGAATATCGATAGTATGTATCAAATATCAAATGTACACTGTTATTACCTGTGATAGGAAAATATATTATTTTATATTTCTGTATTAAATGTTTTCTTACCTTGTTTTGACGTAATTGATTGGTACAGAAAGGGCAAGGTTTAATAAAATTAATATTACTTTGATAAATAACTTTCATAAGTGCGTTAGACAACACTGTTTATGGAGACTGCCCGAGAAGTGTTTAGTCGAGTATTTCTCTTGCCTATTTATATGTCTCTAATTGTTGTTGTTATTGTGCGTTTCCATACTTATGCTTTTATTAATTAAATATAATACAATGATATTTACTATTATATTTTTATATACATGTTATTCTTAAAATAATATATATTTAAATGTACAAAGTAATTTTATAATATAATATATATTCGTACCTACATTTATTATTGATTATTCTTTTTAATTTGTTTTTTATTATTTTTTTGGTGACTAATATGCGTCATGTGTTTACGAACATATATTATTACAATTATATACAAAAAATATTTAAAAATTAGGTATAAAAGTGTAATTAAATACAGACTGGTTATATACTATAACATACAAAAAAAACTTGGTAAACATATGTTACAAATAACTATAAAAATTCACTATCTTAGTCTTGATTGCGCAGTGCAGACTATTTTAATTTTTTTTAAAACTTTGAAAACACATAAAAACGTTAAACAAACAACAAATTTAAAGTGTATTGGTAATCAATTCATATAATTATGTGTGATAAAAAAAAAGATAGCAGCGCCATTCTTATTTGATATTTTTTTCTAATACGCTTTATTTGTTATGTTTAATGAGCATTTCAGTTATCATATTATAAGTGTATAGTATATAGTTATCTACATTATAGAGTTCAATGGTATACACCTATGTTGTTCGAAAAGCTTATCCAATTTCGTTAAAATTGTATTATCTGCTTTAAAACAGTGGTTCTCAACCTGGAGGGCACGTCCCCTTAGGGAAGCGTGAAAAGAAATTACAGGGGGGGGGGCGTAAAAATGTTGAAAAAAAAAAACACGAAAAATGAAAAATTTGTCGTTTTCTATGACGTGTCTTACCGCTATGTTGATCGCCGCCATGGTGGATTTTTTTTATGCAAATAAATCCATTTAATATTAAAAAAATTTCATTGAAGTTGTATTATTATTAATTCAATAACTAACATTAAAGTATAGTTTACATATAAATATTATGCATAAATCAATTTTATAGTAGTGAGGGGTTGGGGCGTGAACTCATAAAATAGTTTGAAAGAGGGCGTGAACTTCAAAAGGATGAGAACACATGCTTTAAACGTTGTTTCGCGATTGTTGAAAATAACAAATTGGATAAAACCTTATATTTCATTTTCTATATTATACCATATGATGTAAATTTAAATCTATTATCATGTAGCACTTTATCGCCTTGACCAGCCGTATCACCGTTAACGGTCCAACTAATTTTGTGTATTATCGACCGATCGACGCACACGTTTATCTATCATACTTTGTACGTACACACATATATTTTAATACCTCTACATCGTTTTTCGAGAATATCATGAGTTATTCAATCGAAAAGACCAAACATATGTGTGATATTTTGTATGTGAATTATAATACATTGTCTTCCGTGTTGTTAATGTATCGTGAATTTCTAATTTAAATATTTCTTTTTTTGTGTTTTACGTGAATCGAATATTTTTATTATTATAAATGTCAAAGACTCATTGTATATCATGTGCAAATCGTCAATTTATTAATAAATAAAGTTTAATTTATGGTAAAGTGTGTTTTTTTTTTTTTTTTTTTAATCTATTAAATATAACTGCAACTGTCCAACTGTCTGAGCGTTGACTTAACTGTGAGTTCTATATGTATTTATTTAAAATTATATGTATAGATTGTAGATTTCTTCAATAAATAAAAAAGAAAAAAAAAAAAAATATGTATTTATTTTTATTTTTGAGTAAAAAAAAACTATATTATCTATTATTATTCTCATGATATATTTATAACCATAAATAATATTTGGTCGCTGTGATTTATTATTGTCACTTATTTTAGTGATAGGTATATGAGTTATCGCGACTAGTGATGTGCCACTAGGAATATTCGCAAAGGAATGTTTCCAGGAACAGGCAATATTCCACAGCATCTCGAGAAATTTCTTTAAAAAATAAAAAATAAATTGATTGGGAATAGAATGACAGTTTATTCTATTATAGGTCTATACTCTGTACCAAAGTAACAGTATTCATTAGTGTATTTTGTTCACATCAATTGGCTAAATTGCTTTATTGACCAACATACTATTGAGTATTGATAAGCAATATATTCTATAGAATTATCGTTATTTCAGTTTAGTATTTTCCATTTACATAG